TCACTCCAAAAAAAGAAAAATATTTTTTTGTATGAAATTTACATAACTAGGTCAAAGAAATCAATTATTAATATGCAAATTAATAATATGCAAATTTACGTGTTGTACAACTTTTGGAGAACATAACTGATTTACTTCATATATTTTTATTCATATATTTTTATAACTGATTTATATTTAGTTTATTTTTGTTTAATATATATATATATATATATATATATATATATTTATATATGATAAAAAAATTCTTAACAATGAATTACATCTTTAATTTTTATGAGAGATTTGATTTTATCATATTTTTCAAATTCTGATAATGTTAAATTGATAATTTAAATTCTATGATCACTTAAATAATTAAATAAATTATAATTGAATTATACATATAAATGAATTATAAAATGAATTATAAATATAAACTATAATTGAATTATAATTGAATTTAAGGCAAAATATATAAATATTATATATAAATTATATATAATAATAAACCAAATAAATCATTTAAAACATTAATTTAATATATCGTCAGTTAGCTTTAATAAATATTACTCCATAAAGCTACTCTAAAGAATTGTATTTAAAAGCTTATCATAAATTATTATCATAAATTATTATCGTAAATTTAGCGAATATCTTTTGAAAAAACGTGAATAAAATATAATCGGTAATTAACTTTTTTAATCTCATTATATCTTTACATCAAATTTTGATCTTTCTTTTTTTCATTTATTAAATACTTTATTATTACGATTTGTTATGGTAAAGGATTGCAAATTGCTTTTGCCGAAGGCACTTCTCGCGCAGCAAACTGTTTGCGAGGATTAACTTGGTAATCCTTTAAATGCAGGCAGAATACGACGTGGAAAGATTCGAAAGTGGAGGAACTAAATAAATCGGACGACGTCCTTAGCACGCTTTTATCCGCGTGAGCCGTCGAGATTTATTAAACCTGTATATACTTCCACATCTACTGCCTTAAGCTCAAGCTTCGATACGGTTTATTTTATTCCAGCCTGCAAGTTCTCTGAAATTCAAACTAAACAAATGAGTTTCATCTGTTCAAGGAAAACAGATAGTTCTCTCTTTTAAAAGCAGATTCAATATTAGGTTAAACCATAATACACAATATTCATCTTCAATGTTTTGATTAATGTTTTAATATTCAATTTTTCTCTACGTTCTATAGGAAATTATATTATTTGATATATTTGTAACGAAAAATTTCAAGTAGTTATTCTTAAATTTAATGTAATTATTAAATTGGTAAATTGTAAATAAGAATTCAAATAAAATAGAGCAAATATTTTATAATTTAATATAAAACACACACAACAATTACATTTAAAAGAGCAAACATTATTTCAGAATTATTTCAGAATTACTTCAAAATTATTAATATTTTTCTTAAATATTTGTAATTTAATCATAGAACATATATAATGGCAATTTTATATGATAATTTTTTATGGTAATTATTGATTTAATTTACAGACTTAAAAATAAGCCTGAGATTACAAAAAGTAAAATATAAAAACAAAATTTTAAATTGATATCTGATAATATTGCGATCGTTACAATACCACATCGATACTTGAAGCATACTATTGGATAATGGTATTTTCCCTGTTTTTTTTGCGAATATATCATAAAGAAGAAATGCTTCCATCTTTTCAAATATCATTTTTATTAGTCACGTAATATACGATACTCCTTAATAAGATGATTTTTAACATTACTTTCATTTTTAACTCTGTTTAAATATTACGTCATACATGATGTACAGATAAGATTTTTAAGAATAACAACTTGCTTTTTTCTTCTTTTTCTTGCTTCTCGTTATTATATATAATTCAATATCTGAGGAACGAAGAAATGTGATAAATTATCTATAATATCGTAGAATTATGGTCGTAGAAATGAGTAGAAGGAATGCTGATCGTCACAGAGGATAATAATAAGTATATGCAATATAGATGTGGATAAGGTATTATTGTGATATGTTCATATCACATTTGCTTGCTTGCGATTCTTTTTGCGATCATTTAGAAGCTTATCAAGCGAATGTTTTATAAGGTGGTTGACACGTAATGAATAAAACGAGTTTTCAGATAATATCCAGTGGGTATTGCATTATATGATTCGCCGATTAGATTTCCAGTAATAAATAAAAGCGATTGAAAAGAAAAAAAGAGTTTCGTTAATTTTTTGTTGAAAAGTTTGAGTGAAAATTTGATTGAACGTTACTTTCGTATAAATTTTTAGTACAGAGTTTATAAAATATTATTGTAAATAAGTTATAAAATAATACTTATAGGTATATTAAAATTTGATTCTAAATTTGATAAAATTATTATACATTATTAACAATAATAACGAGAGATGTAACATCCAATACATCGTTTATGAATATCTTTGTAACTGATAAAGAATCGCGTGTGCTCTATGCATTTAAATCATTTTTCAGTCGTAAGGTGCGTTCCTTGTTTCACTCTGGAAATTTAATTCTCGGGAGAACTGAACGGATGCTTAGTTCGCTCGAGTAATTACGCGCGGTTGATGTTAATTATCCGGCACGTGCGTTATACGCGCGAGTACTGTAAAATCAGACGATCGATTTAGTTGAGACGCCAAATGATTCCCAATGGAGCAAAACCAACACCATTCTGCTGGATATCGTGTAATTATCTAGGCAGGATAGCGCTCGAGAGATGCCACGTTTTATGGTAATTGTGTTCATTGCCTGTTCCCGGCGACATCGTTCCGGGCAACTTTAAGGACAAGCTTTTAAGAAGATACCTCACAGTGTTTTTTAATCGCTTGTAGTTCTCAAACTGTCAATGTCTCTCGACACTTTTTCCTAGGGTAAGATCGATTTTAAAAATTCAGAAAATTCGAATCGAATTTAAGATCGCTAATCGTGACCATTCTTTTGCACAGAATCAATTTACTTGTCTGTATAAGATGCATCTGAGTAATCCAGAAGCTTGCTTTTCCTCGGTTAACGTTTTTGCTAACCTTTTATCGCGCGTATCGGAGGAATACGTTGACAAAGTTGCGCATAAATCGCAGCTAAGTACGCCTTAGCGCGGCCGATACACGCGCCTTCGCCATAATCCGTATTAATCGCCGACCATTCATTAGGAAGCCAGCAGTGGGTGCCGCGTAATTCTGCACCTGGTGCACTCTCGCGATCAATCGCGCGCGCGCGCACGCGTTCCTCTCTTATCATAAATCTTGCCACTAAACTGCCGCACGCCCATAGAAGACAATGACCAAGTAAGCTCGACATTTCTGGAGAGTGACTCGAATGAAACACGCGCGGCCATCGCATCGTCTGCGCGATCGAAGACGATGGGAGCACAGCTCCGTTTTTGCTAAGAAACCGCTACAAAACATTTTTTTAATTTCTTTCTGATTTCTAGTATCTAGAAAAAGTTTAGAGTTTGCATCTGCAATAATTAGATAAACATTTGCGATTTTAATAGCAGGAATTGAGTGTACTATTTAAGTATAGTAAAAAGAAAGAATTTTTAAAAATTCATAAATGATAAATAAAATGCAGTCTGTTTAACGGCTCTTATTTTAAACATATTGTATATAAGTATCATTCGAAATACGCGTCTTCCTGTCTAAATCCTCAGGAAAAATTAAATGGTCTATGAAATAGCTTGGATACCTTCGCTAAGCCCTCACCATTGTAAGCTCCTGAGGGATCGATCGTCTATTATCAAACATTCTATAGATAGAATTATATTGTAATGAAACGAACGTAATTTTCTTTTTCAAAAGTAAAAACGAAATAAATTATTTTTCATAAATTTACCGATATTTATATAAAGTGGACGGAATAAAAAATAAAATTTCGTTGATTTAAGAGCGTCAGAGCGTTTGCATTTTAAAAACTTGATACATCCTTTTCATTTTATTCACGTTCGAAACTTTCTTCCTATCTTCTATCTCGTACTTCCTAAGTGTCAAGATCTGCTCGTTTCGAATTCGTCATCGTTCGCGGTGTCGTAAACAGGTCCCGACGCTCTTTATCCGACTCGACGAGGATACTTAATCGGATTTCGAGATTCCGCTGGGGAGAGCCCTTCCGATGTCACGGACTCGCCTACACTGTTATTTTCCATTTTCCATTGTTATCGCGCGACGAAACAAAGGTAAGCTCGGTCGCGCAAAAAAGCCTCGTAAGATGGGTTTTAATGGCATTGGCACGTCGCCAAATCGCGCCGAGGCGAGGGTTCGAATGCACCGATTGAAATGTTCATTACCGCCGCAAATCATCCCGCCGATCCGCGGAAGGAAGGAAGAACCGGCTGTGTACTATATATCCGCCACTTCGTATCTCTTTCAGTTCGCTCAACTGCGCCAGAAATGAATCGCCGCGATAAATCCGCCCACGTCGATTTTTCTCTCGAGAGGCGCGTCGTTTCCAAGATGATAGGTTGGGATTCTCGGCGCTTATTATTATGATTCACAAACTTACGAAAGGAAACTTAGAAATCTCATTTAAGGAAAAAAATGAAGATTATATTAATATTTGCTTTTGGTTGTGCGTTAATTACTTGTCATATAAAAAATATATTAAGTTATGAAATAACAAATGTGTATTTATACATATTTCTATTTGTATAACAGATTGTCGTTAGAAAATAATTATATAATATATGTACCTTATTAGTATAACAATTGATTATTGCAACATATTTTCATGCACATTATCTTATAGTAAAAACATCAATATTGTGTTAATTGTGTTATTCTTTTGTAACAGGATGTGAAGAAGATTCATTAATTTTAATGAAACATTTTTATCCTTTAATCTAACCGAATTTTCTTCCTAAGATTTTCTTGTGCTACTCCAATAAAGATGAAAGAAACTTTCTATTTATCTTTTAGTCCATGTCTTAGCCAATTCGCTAAGCGAGTCTATAACGAAAATTCGTCGCGATGAATTGACCGATTTATAGACCGGTGGCTCTTTTCTGTTCCAGACAAAGCCCCTTCGGAAGCGTCCTTCAGAGGGACCGAGTATCTTACGATAGATTTGAGCAAAGGAGAGCGGGTGCGCAGTACACAGGAATCTATAAGCCTTCAGTTCAAAACGAGACAGCCAAACGGACTTTTATTTTATTCCGGTAAGTACTTCCTATATCCTCCTTGTGGTGAATGACTTCTTTTGTCGATCATAATAACTTCCCTCTAAATGATTTCATTCTCACTTTAGTTGCCAAATTGAAAAAATGAAATAGTTATAAATAGAAATTAATTGGAATTGGAAAAAACAGAAAACATTTTTAATAACTGGCAAAAAGAAAAATCGTATAATCAACAAATATTTAATATAAAAATATTGAATGTAAAATCAAAAGCATGAAAATAATAATTGGAAATATGACTTGGAAACAAGCGATAAAATTGTTTAAATAAATTTTTAGTTCGCAGCAAATATTTTTACTAATAATAGAAATATACAGATGGTGATTAAATTAATATAACAAATTAATTCGGTATATATAACAGAAAATTAAAAAAAATATATATATATATATATATATATTTTTTTTTTGAATTTTCTATTCTGAAAATAGATAATCAATCGTAGAAGCACGATTAATCGAAAACAATTCGAGAGAGTCTACAATGGAATCGCATTTAATCGAGTGACTTACGGACGGCCGGATATCCTTGGAGAGAATGCGGATAGACAATGGTACCATCTTGGACAATGGCCGCATATTAAATCTTTGCAATATCTTCTCTCGTGGCGACATTATAGCCAATTAGAACGTTTCAGTGATTCGACTCTCGGATATGCGGCACCCAGAGAAATTTTCCGTCTCTCTTTCTCTCTTTTCATTTATCTATTCTTATTGTCCTTTCTTTCCTTCTTTTATTTTAGCAAGGTATGGTAATGGCTCTTGGTTGACCTCCATTAATCTTAATTTCGAAAATGTTAGCTTAGAATTTCCTGAGCAGAATAATAATACATTTCATATATGTCATTTCAATTTAAATTAACGAATATTAACTAAATTATTTATCCTTTTATTACGAAAGACAAATTTTATATCTATAATTGTTTTAATTATATTTACTTTAATGTATAATTTAAGAAATATATATTATAAATAATTGGAAAAATTTTTTAACTTTGCGCTACATTAAAATTACACATTTATCTTAACACAAATATAAAAAATAACCGTTTTAAATGACAAATGTGTTACAAAAATTAAAAACTTTTTATAGAAAAGCAGCAAAAAATGAAGAGAGAGAAATTGCGACATCTTATTATTGTCTAATTAATTTCGAATAAACCTTAATAAAGCTTCAATTTGGATTTAAAAAATTACAAAAACCTCTGCAAAGATACATATATAGATTGCGTTTGATCAACTTTTTGTTAGAAAAAAAATCAAATTGAGCGAAAAGCAATCAAAACGATAAAAATTTGATTCTACACTTTTTCGCGTGTGATCTCAGATTTCTCAATTAACTCATTTTTTTAATTATAATCTCGACGGTTCGTTTGTAGTGCCATATCACGATTTCCTTCATCTTATACTCCAGATGCATACTCCACACGCATACCTCCACTTTATGGCATACTTACATAATGAACGGTAGGGAATCAGCGCAGCCAAGACGGCAAGACTGCACCATCCGCAGTAAAAGGAGGAGTTTGCACCTCCGCTCTGGTTACAGCGGCAACTCGAAACCTATATACCGCAGCCGCAATGCCGTACCACCCATACACGATACACACACACACATATGCATACACACATGCACATACACTTGTTCCTCCAGCTTGCATCTCCTTGCGGCACGTTCGCACCGGGCCGCTCATTTGTTCTCGAGATAAGCTGCAATACAGCCGCGACCGTGCATTTGGATTACGTATTTTCACGGAGGATAATCGTCGTCGCGCGATTTTACATTCTTCAAAATCGCGGTGCCGCTTCGCGAGGGAATTCTCACGCGAAATAGCTTCCTTCGAAACGATGTCCGACCATCTCCGTCTTTCGCTACTCGCGCTCTCTATTTTAGACTGGTTCGCGTGGCGAACCGCGGTGCGTTAAATCCCCACCGAAATTATTTCGCCCGCTTTCGCAATAACTATCTGCAACACGATCGTGTAACGATGTCTCGAGGAAATATAACGAAGGAAATATGAGGATATTTCGTTCGAGGAGCAATTGGGTAGAATATACAACTATAATTCATACAAAGCTAATTTCAATAATACTGCTAGTTGCTTAATGCTAATTGCAACTATTATATTATTGCTATTTAATATTATCAGTATTAAATATCAATATATTTCTCACTTTAAATTAATAATTAATAAAATTCGTATTCGTATTAGCAACAATATAACGATTATCTCCAACTTTAAGAATTAGCCTTGTCAATGAATAAATACTTGCTGAAAAACGCATTTCGGGAAAACGTGGTGGTTCACACATAGGCATCGTTTTAATCAATGTAATCAATGTAATCTCGACGGAAGCTCGCGCTACCGATTCCTCGTATCCGCTGCACGAGCACTACGAGTAACGCGTGTTATCGCGTTTGTTTTCGGGTAGCGATTCGCGTATCGTGCAAATAAACGGGATGCGCGATAGTTACGCGAGCGAGGAGCGCGATACCGCGCGTAATGCACTTACAATTAAGCGCATGCTAATGCGCCGCGCCGGCTGCAATTAAGTCCGAAGTGCCGTCTGCATCTTTTATGCGCTCCGGTCTCCGGTCGCCGTCCACCCTTCCTCCCCCCCCTTCCTTCCCCCGCCAGATAATTAGTATGCGGTCACGGCCCGATTTTAAAGCAGTTGCGGCAATATCCGTCGTTGGCGTTTGCGAAATTCACGAGGGTAATGACACGCCCGCGCAACTCGCTCGATGCGTCTTAAGTTTCCTTCCTCCTGTCCGCCACAGCGAGAATTATGATCTCCGCTTTATAGAATTGATGTCTCTTGCATTTTCGCATCTTTATTATTCGCTGCGTGTCCCGTGAAAGGAAGAAAATTGAAAATGAATAGAAAAATGCTCGCCCACACAGGCGATCCCTTGAATTTCCGCAAAATCAGATGCAATCAGATGCAATAGAATAGAATGGAAAAAAAAATAGAATATTGCATATAAACTTGTTTACCAAAACTGCGCATATTAAAAGAAATTTTCACAGATTTTTATTTACGCTTTCTATTTACTTTTATCAGGAAAATAAATATAAAAATAATAAATGATTCTTCGCTTCTTATAATACTTTACTTCCATTTTTCTACGAGAGAGAACAAAATCGCTTCTAATATATTAATCTAAATGGTATCTGATATCAATTGTGTACGTTTTTCCCTTTATATATCGCTGACATTTAATCGCCAAAGTATACTCTCTATCAGCAAAATCGTCTTAACTCTCCCAACTCGTTACGAACCGAACGGCATAATCCGCGAGGATTTCCAGGTGAGGCTGGCACGATAATTATTAACGACAATCGCCGGACGTTTTAACCGGTCGCGCTCGGACACTAAGTGCCCCGAAACTAATGGTTAAACGGTCGTAATCGATTTATACGCATCGCTTCGCGATATAATCCGGCGAGCTCGACGAAAAATGGAGCGAGCGAGGGTAATCGATGGACGCGATGTCGCCGTGGGGATTAAAAAGTTGCATCGGAATCCGCGTATGTGCGTTGCAGATTTTATTTTTTTTTCTCCCTGCAATGCGTACGACGTTAACGCGTCAAAAGGGATTGCGCTCAATGGACAGTAATGTCCCGGTCGCGTCAACACAGATGTCCGCGACTAAAACGATGGTCCGTGATGGACCGAAACGGGAGGCTGAGAGCGTTTCCGACCATCTCGCGTCGCGACCACTGTCACGTTAATTCAATAGCGCGTTTTATTTCCGCTTTCGAGAGCGAAGTAAGGGTTTATTTGCGCTCGCACTCACGCGACACTCACCGTGACTTCATTAGTCTCGTTTTTAATTACAGGTGAGGGAGATGATTATCTCACCGTGTCGCTGAGAGACGGAGGCGCCGCAGTAGGAATGACACTGGCCAAAGGAAGATTGGATCTGCACATAAAACCTGTCAAAGTGCGATTCGATGATAATCAGTGGCACAAGATCGTCGTCCACAGAAAGGTCCAGGAGGTAAGGATCATATTTTTTTTATGTTTTATTCGAGCACTCGTTGAAATAAACAGCAAATTATTGATAAATTTGACATGTGGAAGTGAGTTTCATTGAGATAGACAGAAACTTGTAATGGTATTCAGGACAAGCGTTTGATACGCTTAAATCTATGAGTATACATAGCAATCCGGTCTGTCTTCCAACTTTAAATATCCAATTTTAACGACCGGAGAGTGGAAAATCCGATACCGTCCGGACGTTAAAGGCGTTAAATTTTCACACTGTCGCGATCCAAATGGATCAATGAACGGACGTGAGAGCAATTTCGTTAATGCCAGTGAGTATACACCAACATTCATCATGCATTACGCATAGTGGATAGAATAGATAACGCAATTATATTTACGCGTCTCCATTGCGCGCGAGTTTCGCGAACTGCGGCATAACGTGAGTTTATCGGTTTATCATCGCCAAAATATCGGCACCTCTTGTTAAAGTGCGTGTTGAAATTTGTTGCAGCAATTATAGTGAGCTAATATTTGTGCCGAAATGACTTTATACGGTGATAGATTGCGAATTAAAAACATTATATGATTTACTTGCGCGTTTTTAGCGCAAACAATATTTAAAAAGAGCAATGTTGAAATATTCATTAACAAGTACGATAAAATAACGAATATATATACTCTTAATATTATATAATATATACTATTATCGCATATTCAATTTTTTAAATATTTCCTTTTAAATATTCTTGAATTAAAAATGCATGAGTGAATAATGTTTTAAATTTACAATCGCTATTATTATACAAATTTTCATATATATTTATTACTAATTATTAATAAACATTGTCAATATTGTTTGTACTAAAATTATCTAATTCTTTTAATTTTACTTATACATTTTATTATACATTATTTTATAAATGTGCTTATATACTATTTATATATTTTAATTATATAAATATAATGATAAGAATTCGTATGTACAAATATTTATATATTTACATACAAATTAGATAAAATTAGAAAGGAGAAGATACAAGGAAAGTTAAATTACATGATTAAAGTTAACCGAATGGTAGAGGCAACCGTTGGATATAGATACGCTTCGTTACGCGGTTGTGTATAATGTACCTCGAACAATGGCACGAAAATAGCGTCGCACAGCCGAATGCGTTGAAGCAATGAAAGAGCTTAAATTTATCTCTCTTCCATTCAAAAGCTATCGTCTTTATTGTTTGGTCGTTTACAAAATACATATTGTTAAGAGGAAATGCGCGATCACAGGTAAAAGATCCCATGATATATGTTTCTCACTAGACACTTCCTGCAGAAAGCTTAAAAATTTAATTTATTTATAATTAAATAATTTAATTTTTATAATTTAATTTATTTCTTTTTTTAAGAAAATTATTATTTTATTTATTTCATTTTTTAAGAATTTTATTTCTTTGTTTCTAATAGTTTAATTTAAAAACCTAGTGTCTTGACATTTCTATAAAAAAAAAATGACCCAAAAATTGGAGTCCTCAATTCGAGGGCAATACGTTCAATGACGACACACATGGAATTTTCACAAGTTATGTATTTCTACGCTTCGTTATCTCTTGTATCAGGAAGAGGACGGACCACTATACGCGGCAACAATTTAAGGGTGGCGGATGTGTAGCGCGTGAATTGGGTCGAGAATAGCTAATGTCCGTCGCTGTGCTTTGGATAATTTTCCCGAGCACACGTTGTTCGTTTGAGTCACTTCCGCAGCTGTGTAAACGAGAAATCGATTCCCGAGCATATGCCGAAGGCTCGTCCACATCTGCGGCGAAACTATGGCAATATTTACCCGACATCGTAATATAAGGATTTCGTATGTTTCTTTCGTGACGCGTACATTTTTAGTATCTAATATATATGAATGTTACTGTAAAGTGTTTTTCAAAATTCTGTCAAAGCGTCACTTCTAATCAGGCGCGTTTAAGGCATAATTAAAAGAAAAGACTCGTGTTTCTCACCAATCTGATCCTTAAAGGCACCGGCGCTCGCGTTCGCCAAGAAACCTAAATAAAGGGCTACGGTGATTTTTCTGTGATCTCTTGATTGTAACGATGTGAATGAATCATTAAATAATGTTAATGAGAAATTAATCTAACCGTGAATAATCACGAAGGTGTACGACACTTAACCTACGTTCACAAAAGCATTTATTATTTATTATCGCGCTCCAGTTATCTCTTCACTTATGCGATAAATGACGATATCTTCCTCGCATGGCGTTTCAATATGCATTGCACACGCATATGCGCACCCTGGGTAACGATCGTATCCCTTGCTACATAGCTAGAAACCGACATGTTTGCGACAGTTCAAAATACCAAGTAGTTGTGCTCATTTTAATAACGAAGGATAAATATTAAATTGCAAATACATACACGCACATAACGTGTAGGTGTGCCGGCAGAATTCCAGGCTCGTTTACGACGATATACAGTACGCAGTACCTCACCATAAAAAAACATAAAAAAAGGAGCATTTATATCGCGTGAAGCACGCACGAGGCGTTCGTCCCGCTTTTTATTCGATATTATGTGTGTGTCGACTTCGCGGAAAATGCTGACCTCGACGTGATACCGACGTGACCGTTTATAGAACACGAGTATGGAATTATTAATAATGCGCCGCAGGTGCACGCGGTGAGCACCGTCGAATCGTCGTGTCATTATGTGTGTGATATTAAATTTTAAGAAATTACCGCGCCACACGTTCCGCCGAATGGGAAAACTCCATAATTGGGTTGTATTTAACCAGACTATTTAACTAAAAAACTAATTATTTTAAAGCTATAAACAGTAAAAATTTGCTTGTGTAATTTTAATTTTTCGTGTTTTTAGATATAAGATATGGAAAATGATATTCTTTCTCCTTTTCTCTATTTCTTTTTTCCTTTTTTTTAAGAAAATCGATTTTTTTATTGTTAGCTTACAGCTAATAGGAACAGATACAAATTTCACCACATTTGCGTTAATTCGACATCCGGATAATACATCTTAATATTAATTTAAATAATAAATATATGATAATATTTTTTATCTTAGTGTTTTCATGCATATATTTCAATTTTCAAGCTGAATGGCTGCGCGTAAAAGGAGGTCGTGAGAAATTTGTGTCGTGTTTTTAATAAATAGATACTCGGCTCCGTGAATGTGAAAGGGAGGTAAGAAAAATATGCGTCTCTCCGTGAGATTAATCGTCGTTCTCCATCAAACGAGAATTCTTGCCTGACACTTTTCAACCCTTTTACGCCGCGAGCATTCCAGTGGCTACGCACTTGCCAGGGACATTCAAAGAACAAAAAGGGCCCCGTTCATCCTCGAGAGTATTGTTCTCCTTAGATCAGTTACTGTCGCGGTACGTGTAAAGGTTAATACCGTCGTGGACAAAGGGATGGGGATGCAGAAGGGTTAGGAAAAGAGATTGGATGTCTAGACACCTTTATTCGCTAGCTAGATTGGTGCCCCCAGGAGGTTGCGAGCTGCGTGGATCAACTGTAACCATAGATTGCCTGTTACATGTCACCCGCGAGGGTTTACACGTGTCGTGTGCCTCACACATGGACACTATTATCCCGACGATAGTTTTAAACATGTGATGCCGCACGAGCAATTTGTTAGTACATAATAAAAACCGAATGTAATTATTTTACATGCTAATATTTTTATAATACTAACAAATTTCCCCCGTGGAGTTTTCACATTGTAAAGTTTCCTATATATATATATATGCAAAAAATTAGCATATTATATACTCGAATCACATTCCAGAATTGAGCAAGTGCGATCAGATCACTATTTTTCATACTCACTCAAGAATGTCTTGAATTCGGAAACGGAGAGGAAACTGATTGTGAGATCCGGCTGACTGACGTCACGATGACACGCACGAGTGCATTTAATGCACGGCACTTCGCGGTAACGTTCGTTAGCATCGACCAACACGAATACTCTGATGACGTTCCGCATGCGAACTTCTGAGATTTCAATCGATTACGTCGCCCACGACCGCCATAAATTAAGCCCTTAAATGCGATCACCCGATTTCCATTTTCGAGATAAGTTTTATCGGCTAATGTCACGTAGCTTTTATTAAATTTAAGATAATGCATTGCAATTCACAATCCTCTATAAAATAATCGGGAAAGAATACGATATCATCTAAATCTAAGATTTAAATGTTCTTTTATCTCCTGATAATAAATAAGTTTTATCTCCCGATCACTGCCAATCAAACATTACAATACGTATCAATATCTATAATATTGCATCGTATATATCTGCAATATTTTTATTTGTATATAGATGCAATTAATTATTCTTTAAAAAATGTATAAAAAAAAATTTATAAATTATAATTGTACTAGTCGTATTTCTTGGTTTTTGCGTATTGGTATATTTTTCTGCATATCATGTTGTAACAATCAGCATATAATATTATATATTTGCATCTATTATTTTTAATATTTTAAATAAATTGAGTAAATTTAAATTTTTTAATAAATATATCTTTGTAGAGGAAAAGTATCTATAATTTAGAAACTTACAGCTTTCAAGATATTGTCGAAATATATGTCTTATTGGCAAAGATATACAATATATGATTTTCTTTTCAATGTTTTCGCTAATCTGTTAAAATCTAAATAAATAAATTTATTCCAATTATTCTATATAATCGAAGGTATAATTAGATATATAAAACGTAATTATAACTTCTGATATATAGAGCAAAAAGCAAAATCCGATTTACACTTGACATTTAACACGAAGACCGATCAAGAGAACGCGCTCGTAGTTAATTTTGAAATCCTCAAAGGACCAAGCCCGCAGTATGCCTCGTTTTGAAGAGAGGGAGAGAGAATTCACTAGACCTCTGACAGAAAGATTTAACACCATATCAACTCTGAATTTTATCCGCTGCATACCTGCGAGTGCAACCCGTTCGTTCCGTGCGTTCTTCGTAGCAACGAAATCTCCTTGCTCTTACGTAGTGGCGGAGGCGGATCGCACGTCATCCTTCGTATGTCACTAGATCACTGGGTGTCTTTCAAGCATGAGTGCTTTCATCTCCCGCTTTTTCGTGACGAAAAGTGCACCGACTGGAAAATTCAGTTTTGCGTTAGCAGATATATAAGGTATATCTCTCTCAAGAAATCAAGTATATAGGAATATATGTAATCTTATGTAATATTGAATTTACATTTTTTATATGTTGATTTTAACGGAAATTTATATATCTAACATTGTTACATACATGTAAATTTATAATTACATATTTAATAAAAAAATTATGAAATAATAAAAGAGTTCTTGATATATTATAATTTAAGTTATAAAATATAGATAAATACTGCCATAAATTATTAAATTATTCACAAATTTGTTAAGTAGTTATTTAAAAAATTTATATCTTTTATTTATTTATAAAAATAACCATGTTTTAATATAGAAATATTATTTTTATATTTTTTTTATTGGCATTAAAATTTTGAATGCAAGATGCAACAAAAAATTTTTAATCGATTCAATTTATTTAAAAAGTATTATCTAATTTCTTATATTAAAATTTTTAAACGTAACTTTTTTTCAAAATTTATGTGTTGACTTTTTTCTTTATGTAGTATACAAAACAGTTTATAGTAATTGGAAAGTGTGTGTTTTGACAAAAATTCGCACACAATCTACTTATTGTTAGATTCTTCTCTATATAGAGAATTTATTCACATATATATTATAAATTTGTCTTTTAAATTTCTATATAAAAAAATATAATGAATATATTATTCTTTGCATATTAAAGATTTCATCATCTAGGGATGTAAATTTCACAGGAGAAATATTATTCTTTAAAACATTTTAAAATTCAAATGTTATATATAGGAGTGCAACTTTTGTTTTTAAGAATAATATCTATTTCATTTAATATCTCATCAAAAATAAATAAATACATATATTTTTTTATTAGTATTCTATTAATATTCTTAACACGTGAAAATTACATTCCTATATGAAAAATTCGAATTATAAAGTGTTATTTTTCGTTCTTATAAAGTTAGGATTTTGAGAGAGATATTATAATACCTTAATATCTCTCGTTCTAATCAATATCTCATTTTTCGAAAAATTGGATATATTCTTTGTTATGAAACTTTCTACAATATAATGTAAGTATTTTATGTAATTTATAAAATTTTTAGAAACATATTCAATTTTAGTTAAAAATAAGTAATTTTTTCTGAAACGAAACTTTCTACTGCTTCTTCTTGAATCACTCAGTACAGTGAGCAATTCGAACAGCATATATATATCCTACCATAAATCAAGATTTCAATTCGTCGCCTGCCGGATCGAACTTACATGCGACGATAGCACCTCACTCTTCTCTTGTCACGCTCTCACGAGAGACTTCGAGAATTCACTATCGAAGTATGCCATCCACGATACGTTTGTTGTCATGATCGATTCTTGAAGGAGGAAACAGAGAATGCTCGTGTAATGATGCTCGTTGGATGCAAGAATATTTGCGTAAAGAGATTGGACGTTTGTGCGCGCAAAAAGGAATGCAATATGCCAACAAGAAAAAGAGTTGCTTGAGAATAGTGTTGAGAATTTCAAATGTAATTTGAAACCTAATAATAATTCAAATTATTAATTCAAATATTAATTTTAATTATTATAGCAATTCTTATATATATTTCAATTATGATTTTTCAAATTTTCAAATTTATATTGATAATAAAATATTATTTTTTAAATATTATTTCTTGTAAAATTTTTTTGAAAAAAATACACTTAATAAATATATGAAACACATATTAATGCGCGCATTTTTGTATTCTCGAAAACATGTTATATATACACAATTATGTATTATTTTTCTCTCCAATTGTTATAACTTTTTATTATAATACATTTATTAAAAAATTCCTCCTTTTTAAAAAGAAATAATACTACGTGAAATTGATAGTTCATTTGAATATCATATAACATTTCAAATAAGAGCTTCAAGGAATGAATATTATTCTTCGTTGATCTAATATTTGAAATATCCGGAAAGAGATCATCGTGCTAAATTCTGACGGAATAGAAGGATCTGCGATTCTTGGTTTGCGGAATGTTTGAAATACGCGATCTAAATCCGCGGCATTAAATCATTCTCGCGAATAAGAGAGGCTTGTAACGTGTTCGAGCGGTTTCCTTCCACGAAGATCATTTAATTCGTTACGTACGATTCAGCTGCGCAAACATTGAAACTCACCCGAAAGAGAGTCCGGAATGCCGGTTTCTTTGATATCTACTGGGGTGCAAAGTAGATCCTTAAATTCACGGCGTTCGATGAAAATCCCACCGGATCGCCACCGGGTCGCATAATGCCAATTTTATGTAAAACTGCAGCCACATTCAGTAGCGCATTGACGTAGATTTGATATCAAGAATATAAACTAGTCACTATAAATGTCACCTTATGTTTACTAAATGGGTAACTTTCGAATTGACATATCATCTAAATATACATCATGATTGTAATAATTGTATTCGTAGTCGAAAAAGAAAATCAAGCAATGAATGAATGAAAAATATAATTCTTGTTAAATCAATTGTTTCAGATATTTTATATGTATATATGTTCTTTATCTATATGTATATTTTTTTAACATTTAATTAATAATAATATTTAAAAATTAAATTAATAATACAATAAATTACATCATAAAATATATCATAAAAATAATAACTTCTTGTTGATTTATAAATTTGCCCAATTCTATGTAAACGCAAAACGTTAAGCTTTATAGAACGAGAAGCTTATTGAGATTATTGCAATCCCTTTGTCCTTTGACTATTTTTACTCAACAATACACGTACGAAATTGAATATTACAGGCTTGAGCCCGAGGGCGATCTAAATCGAGAGCTAATTAAGCAGATAGCTGATCAAAGCCAAACAATAAGCTGCCTGACCTGGCCTACCGAGATATTAACATAATGCCAAATCAGAAACCATTCGCAGCATCGGCTGCATCTGCCTCCGGAAGCTATTTACTTCATCTCATAACAATGCAAGTCCTATTACTGTAATGAAATAAATTTTAGTATTATGCTGACATGAAAATATTCAGAAAAAATTACACATATGTGCGTTTTCTAAAAAAAAAATAGAATATTATGAAATTATTATATCTTATAAATGCTGATATAAAATTATTCAAATTATTATATTTTATAATGGTGCACAATATTGCACAATTCTAATATATTTATATACAGGCTGAATATACGTAATGGTATATTTGTGTAAGAGTTATGTGCTTATTCATTAAGTTATAAAACACACATGCTGAGAGATATGCTCACAAACTAAGTTCAACAAAAGTGAAGCCAGATAGTCGTTGTAATAATACATAATAAAAAAGAAAGTTTAATTCGTGCAAATGAGTGTACAACGTAATTGCAGCATAATAATAATTTGATCCACACGCGATATAATCGTTAAATAAACGATAAAGAAGTTTGACGGAGATTGCTTGGTACGTAGCTCATTGATAAGTTTTCGCGCGATAATTAGAGCGAACAGAAAGACACGTATGCGTTTATTTTTCACGATCGTTTCGAAGCGAACAGCACAAAGGCAAGAGTTCGCTTCGTCACCGTCTTTCTCTTTCTAGGGCTGTTGCCCTTCTGTCAGTCGTTTAATCGCCACGTGATCAAAGGGATTCCTTAATAAGGCCCGCACACAGCCGCAGGCTCACAAACCGCCCGTGCTTAGAAAGCAAATGCACTTTGTGTCATACGCATGTGTTACGCGCATTGATGGCAGGGGTTTTAAACGAAATCTCTCATTTTTTTTTCATTATTCATTTAAAAGCAACTTTAATTTTAATTTTAAACTCTCTGAAAGAAAGTACTGTAATCAACGAAGATAAAATTGAGGACAGAAATAAAGATACGTTTCAACAAGAAAACTATTAAAACAAACTGACATTAAGTAAACAATGGTTTCTATTAAAATAGAACTTTATTAAATGTATATATTTGCTTGGTTATTCTTCTAATTAATTTTTTAATTATTTCCTGCTGCACCGAACGTTTGAAATAATATTGAAATGATAAATATATTATGATATATATATATTTAAAGTGATCAATCTTTTTCGCAAGTTTTAAAACCTCTTTTTTGAAATATTATTTTAAAAAAGAATTTCTAATAATTCTTTTCAAATTATTATCTTAATTAATAATTCCAATTATTACTTCCAAGATTGCAGTTATATTGTGCAAATATGTGTACCTATCATTCTTAAAAAAATTTTTTTAAAAATCAATTTTTATAACTTTTATAACTTTATTTAAACAAGATATTATTTAAATGATTATTTTTTAATACACTTTGCATTTAAAATTTGTATTATTACGCTACGTTATTATTGATCAGACAAAATTTTGGGATAGATCCCTGCGTTGAAAAAAGAATTCAAGTTCCAAGCTCGATTCCTGCGCATCGAAAGCTCTTCTTCGTGCATCAGACAGAGTCTCTCTCGTGAGAAATAAAAATTGTTTGAAGTTTCCGCGAACACGTAAAATACGTTTGTGCCTTTTTCTCGAGCGACATAGCCATTCGCGCATCAAAAAAAGTTCTTATGATAATCCAGAGAAAAAGTTCAAATAGCTCGCGAGCTTGCAGCGATCAGCTTCGTGAGCTTCCGCACGTAGGGTAACTTTTGAATTTCAATTGCCGGTGTCACATTCACGTAAAATATATACGGACATTTTGTACTGATCGCACGTTTATGCTTTCTGTTTCAGATCTCTTCAATAACCAGCTTCTGCAAGGTGAGTGTGTGATTTTTATTGTATCGCATATATTGTACGTACGTAGCTTTTCGATATCTCCAATCGCTTGCTCTTGAGAGCGTTGCAAAAAAACAGTGCACAAAAGAATGTATTGCAGTCATTTCAATTGGATTTGCACCATTTAATTAATTACTCTCTCTCTGTGCGTATTTTTTTACACAAAGCTGTTTTTCACACGCGTTTACTAATTGATATTAGTTTACTTGAACAAACAGTACTTTATTTTTCGTTTCAATTATGTCCGTAACATGTTTTATATCATCACAATAATCTATATTATAGTATATTGGCAAAACCAGCGACAGAGAATTGTTTCGAAAATAGAAGTCAAAGAATCCGAGGAAAAGTTTCATTAAATAAATAAATTATTGTAAACTTTATTTAAACTTATAAATAGCTTATCTAAACTTTATTTAAACTTATAAATTACTGTAACTTTACAGAAAAACATTAGAATCCCGCTTGGTTGAATTGTTTTCTTCTTGCTTTTATTCACCGTGCCTTCTATGTACAATATATATCCTTGTTCCTTCCTGTCAAACCTTCTTTTTGAGCAAGTTGCCTGCATTTCCGAGAAAAATGCCAAGACATTTTTAACAAGAATTCATCCATCCGTTTAGATCCTCCGGCCACGTTCCCTTATTGTTCCACTCATGTTCTACGATGGCATGCGGGTGATCTCGAGATCTCTCTATTCGAGTCTCGTCCTCTCACCTAAGCGTTGTTGTCTGGCTCACTATGTTTCCAGACGGAAGGAAAATCCTGTGTGAATTTTTTATTGAAAGTATTTTCACAAGAGCGGCATACAGAAATAGATTGACAAATGTTTTTGCATTATTTATTTTAACTCAATTCCGTTACATTCTAAAAAACCCAAATAGTTTTTGGCTTGTAAATGATGTTAGCTTTTCGAAACATATTTTCGATATATGTATAAAAAATTATATTTAATAAATTACAATAAATAAGAAAAAAGATATATTGTAAATCATGAAATTAAATAGGCTGTTAAAAGTAATTTTTTGCATTTTATATTTTTTATTAGAATATTATAAAGTGCTCATCAACAAACATCTCTCGCTCACTTACACATCGCTCTCTCATATCATTTAAGAAAACCGGAATACTATAAACGCCTCAGTTATTTTATATAATATTTTGTGAGTGGAATAACATTCCAATAAATGATGAATTTTCTATCGTCCGTCTGTTTTAAAGAAATATACCGTCGAGTTCGAAGAAATGGCAGAAAAAGTTGCAGCTGATGCATCTAGTCTGCACTTGACTGCTTTCACAAGCGGGGAGTCGGAAAAAGATTCTGAAATGCAAATGGGCGCGAAACCGATCGATTGCATAATTTACGGCGCGGTCCGCGAGCTGAAAATACTGACGTTATCACGAAAATTTCTTGTTACGTAAACGTAAATTACTTCTTTTAGTTATCGCTGACAATTTCCCATTAACTGAATGCGACCATCACATAAAATAGTTTACCAAATAACTCTTTTTAAAATAGCTTATATTTTTAACAATTTTATTGTGTATCATGTATTTATTTCATATGTGTTGTCTTCATGACATTAGCTCTAAAATTTAATATTATGTGTATAAAAATTGTGCATAGGAATTACAGATATGTAATATTATACAACACATAATATTATAATAATATTTTTATTATATAAATAGTATTTTTCTTTCTGTGGAAATATTTTCTTGAATCGTATAATCGAAACAGTCATACAAATAGATGATTCTATATTTCGATATCAGTTTGAAACGCAATATAAATGTAAAATGTATGTAAAATATAAATAGAAATTAAACCATTAGGTTTAATTATATTATATATAAAAATGCCCGTACAAAAAATTTTCTTCTTCTTTGATGTCTCATGTTACATTGACGCCATACTATCGTTCTAAAAGCAAGAATAAATCATTCATGATGCAAAAAGTAAAAGATCTCGCATTGACTCCGCCCGTCTCTTCTTTAGTGAGAGAGTACGCGCGTGGAAGTTTTCACATTTTCTGTCTTTTCACCTCGATGTTTGAATCTCAACTCCTCTTAAGGTTCTCGCGATGCTCCAGTAAATTCGATCATGACATTTCTCCCCGGTTTTCGCCAGCTTCTCGCGAATCTTTTTCCTTGTTTTTCACTCATTCCGCAGACAGCCTTTCATGGTGTCGGGTATAATTTACGATCTCGTTAAAAACGTAGAAATCATTTATTTTCGTCGTACGACATAATATAAAAGAACGATCGGTAAACGAAACCAGTAGCAAAAGAAATTTATTTCATAGCTTCCATTTTTAATAAGACGAATTGCTCTTTGTTACACGATAAAAAGATAAAAACATCATATTTTAAAACAAATATCAATTAAAAAGTAATACAAGTATTATGCATGTTATAAATTAACATTTATATCTCATTTTAGTATCGAATATTTTTAATTCATTTTATTAGGGTTTTTAATAAAAAAAATATAATAATAAAAATATATGTATATAAATATAATTCAATTTCAATTTTATTAAACTTACGTTAGATGCAAAAATTCAACGATTCTTACTTTTTTTATTATAATTGCCAAAGTTAATTTGATTACCCAATTTTTAAAGTCTTGGCTTTTTCCTATATTTCCTATAAATTCTTAAACAAATACTTTTTTTAAATTCTTAAAAACTTTATTTTATTAAATATTAAATTCTTCGAATTATTAAGCCTGCAAATTATATTATTATATTACATATATATAAAAAAAGAAGATTCCATCAACATGTAATTTCTATTTTTTTATATATAATTTTAATATTTATATTCTTTAACTATATATATTTATATTTATATTTTTTTTAATAATATTGAAAGTGAACAAAACTGTTGACACAATAAATATATTATCTTATATGTGTTACATTCACGAGATGTGAATATAAACTGAAAATTTATGGTATAAATTCATGAAACAAAAAAACGTTGATGATAACAAAATGCAATGCACTGTTGCGTTACTACAGACACGTACAAATGTGCGCAATACTCATCATCCATGAGCGGCTAAGTAGAACTCGCATCTGAATGTAATAAATAGTCTACTCCATCCCCTTGTCACTTTGTTCACTCCATATTCGTCAAACAAGGACCAGTATACCGTTCTGTAAGAGGGATGCTCTCGCGCGTAGGTTCCCTTCGGTGTGGGTCTGCGGCCCACTTTCTCGGTTGCGCTTATTGTGCCGCCCCAAATACATTGTGCGTGCAAGCGAGGAATATTTGCTGACGCTCAACGGTTCACGATTATTACGACGCGAGAAAAAGTACGCTATTAAAGGACCTGCTTTTCCCTCGACTTTCTATGCGCTCCTTTCGTTACTGATTTTCTCAATTAAATTTCGTTTCAAGTAATAATCTAAATACTCAACTTTAAATATTGTATGCGTGTAAAGTATTCAGATGGGAATATAAGTTTTCTCTCTCAAATTTAATTAAAAATATATAAAATTTCTACATTATTGTTATTTATATTCATCTTAAAATTCTCATCTGCAATGTTATAATTATTATCTACAATTAAAAAATATGTGCTGAATTCCTCATTAATAAAATTATATATATATGTCAAAATGAGATATGTTTTACAAACAACACTATTGCATTAGTCTAATTTAAGAGAGAGAAAATAGTTTCAATAAATTATTAGTTCAGTTTATATATTGCGACACTGTTATAATATTTAAGATGTCCATTAGCATGAGTTGGCAAATCCAGACGCTGTTAATGAAGATGGAAAATTAATTAAGACGGAAAATTAATTTCTTCTCCGCGATAGCGCGCGATATTGCGGTGTCCCGATTCGATTCAAAGCTGCGAATTTTGATTTACCTCGGCTTAATTAAATTTCCACCTGAATTAGCAAGTTACCAAGTAGGCGAATTCATTGACACAATGATTCCTGTGTGCGAAATATAAAATTTCTAAAGTTAATCTACATTTGGAATATACTTTTTTATAAGGCATATTTTTAATTAAAGGCGTCTGTCGATGTGATTCCACAAGGAAACCGTGATCAATAAATAGTAGACGAGCGCAACAATTCCAAGCAATTACATAATAAATATTAAATAATTAATTATTATTTTAACTAACGGTAGCTTGCCATTTATAAATTGATCATGTAAATAATTATTTTATTAATTATATATAATTATATTATTTATTGCGCACATGAAATACAATAATTAATATATTGAGATATAAGGTAATCAATATCGTAAAATACATATTACATGCACAAAAAATACTCAATTTAAAGTTACATGAATTTAACTGTGTCATTTTAAATCTCGATATTATTAAACTAAATTTTGCTACACATAGATGTAATCATCTCTCTGTAATGACAGTAAGACATTTACATAATGTATCTTTGCGCTCTTCATGCAAAACGGTGTGGAACACTGGTTACTCGCAGACAGCTCCTTAATTTTATCGCGATGACTGTGGGATCTATTTGTTCACTGAGAAACATCGGAGATAAGGCCTCGAGGATTATGAAGGAGATTGCTCAACTACGGTCCAAGGAAACGCCCTCGACAAGAGAGCTACCTAATTACAATGAGGAAAAGCGGAAGCCTCAAGCAGGGCCGTCCCTAGAACAATAACTGGAATTTAATGCTGCACATCGTATTTCTTGAAGTTAAATTAATCGATGAGCTCATTTTTTCTTCAAAATACTATTTTAATTTATATTTATTTATGATACTTTATATCTTTTATAGCGCCAGCGTTTTCCAACATTTTTTGTTCTTTCCAATGAATTTAAAATCGAACATAAGCAAATTCTATTTTTTTAAATATTAAATTTTAAACAGGAAATAAATTACTACAAAATTATTATAAAATTTAAAATATATTTATTTAATGTTTAAATTTTTCTTATGTTATTCAATTAAAATGGAAATCCTAGGCTTACATTTTTGCCAAGATCTATACACTTGCATCACAACGACCTTGGTGTGATAAGTGAAGATGAAGAGTAAGAAGATAGTATCTTTCTCTCGATTAGGTGCCTCCGGGAAGACATAACATTCTAACGTTTTACTCTGTTCGCTCCTCTGAGTTTGCCGCCCTGTTAGTTAGAACGATGGATGAAAAAGGAAGAGAATAACCGGGAGATAACGATGCCATTGCTAAAGTCGTAATGGACCACTCCTCAAGAACGGCGATTGTCTAAATGCTAAACTTTACGGTATACCCGCATGATTGCTGTGGAAACTTTACCCGCTCTTTTTTAAGGATCGAAACGATACCGAGGTTAATACTGGTTACCCTTTTCAAGCGTAAAGCACAACGACGCTTGTAATTTATCTGTTTGATAAAAAATCACAGACAAAATGAACAAATATTTTCATTTATAAAAAATATATATACTCCAAACGCTTTATCTCTATATAAATAGATAGGAAATTAAAAAAAGTTTATATAAATTTAAAAAAAAGATTAAAAAACATAGAATAATATTTATAACATATAATAAAAAACAAACATGGAGGTATATTGAAATAAAATTCACGCTTATTTGAATTCAAATATGTACCAATTATACAAAGAAAACAGACTATAATAAATAGAGTTAGAAATCACATTAATTCTATAATTTGCCATGAAATGGAATTTTCGAGATACTATTCTTTCTGTTGCAGCTCTCTGCTATTGTGGATGGAATTTACGCCGAGCACGGACACACCGCGGGATCTTTCACGCATTTAGTAAGCGATCGACTTCTCGTCGGTGGAGGCGCCGGTGCGACATCCTTGCAAGGCGCTAAAGGGATCAACAACTTCGTCGGATGTCTAAGAAAGGTTACACCCCCCTGCGATAACATGATTTATTTATACTTTCCGCTAACTTTCCACCGTCTCTTCTGCCTTAGTCTCTAATAGACTAATGAAAATTGCATAAAACGTAATAGAGATCATTAACCTTTTCAACGTGAAATATTTACAGAGATTAAAAAAAGAAATCACAAATTCAATAAGAAAATAATGTAGAATACAAAGAAACTTGTAAAACTTTTCGAATTATAATACTGGCTTTAAAAACATGTCAGATAGACACGTTAAATGAATGGGAGATAAAACTAAATAAAATAAAATTGCTATCTTAATACTATTTTAAAAAAGTATAATTACTAAGCAAAAAATAATAGATAATTAGTGATAAGATATAAAATTTATTTTATAAAGTTTCGAAGAAACAAATAGATTAAAACTATATTCTCTTTAGTTAATTTTAAATACATTCAACTTTCACAAAACTTCAATTTGTGTTTTAAGTGTGTGCAACGAGGTGTGTTCAAACTTGGAAAATTGTGTTAAATGATGCCCTCGACATTTTCACCGGGAAGAATCGATTAATAAGTTCTGCAATTAATCTCTATTTATTGAAATTTAACTGATTTATTTTGGTATTTCGTATAACACATCAAATGCTTTGTGTTTTTTCGTTTTGTATCAGTAGAAATAACGTAAAAATACAACTCTTTCTCTTTTATTATTTTTATATTTTCTTACTATTTTTTATCATATAAATAATTTTCCGTACTTTTTCTACTATATAAAACGATAATATTATTGGAAAATAAACTGTATACATTGTGTTCCTTGTAATTATTAAATTACCTTTTTTTTGTGCTGTTTTTAATCGAACTGATTAGCAATTCGAACGATAATTATTCTGAAATGCCATTAATTGATTTGCCAATAGGGAATCGCGATGATGTATCATTGAATCTTTTATGAGACAATATTAGCAGAGAGAACGTGTAATGATCATAAATTTTCTGAATCCTTTCAAGAGTATATATGTCGCTTAAACATTTTATGCTGTAATAAATTTAAATAATTAAAAAGTTGGCTGCTATATATGGAATGCAATGTAATACGGTACATTTATAAAATAATAAGATTTATTAACATTGTGCGAATGAAACAAATTCGAAAAAACGTTTGTCAATTCTCTATAGTTTGATTACATATACACACACATGATGTCTTTCTAGAATGTTTTAATTACAAAAATATACTACAATATCGCACAGAAAAATATATAACTATATAACTTTTACAATTTGTGGATTTTTTAACAAAGAAGTTTTTTCTGCATCGAAAATTTAGAAGTTGCTTTTCATTATCTCTTAAATATAATTAAATATTAATATAATTAAACTCTCTTTCTAAATTAAATTTTTGTTGTACTTGTTTCTTGTTAAAAGCCATTGAAGATTAAGTACAAAATAATTAATATTTCGTTATCTGTTGGATGATTGTTACAATTTACTTTTAATAAATGATGATTTATATGCTTGTAAATATTGCTACTTTCATACATTTAATTTAATAAAAAAATTAATTTAAAATAATTAAAAAATACATAGATAAAATTTATAATTCATACAATAATAGATATAAAAAACGAATATATAGATATTAGAGAATGTTTCATTCTTGTTCAATTTTTACACGTAAAGTTCTGGAAAATTCTTATATAAATATTTGTATCGATTTTTTGAATAGATTGTTAAAGAATTTAAATTTCATTAAAATGTATTAATCGAAATGTTTTGATAGAAAAAGTTGTCAGTAAAAGTTAAAATGATCAGGCTTCTACAAATATATAATACTTATTACATATCTAAAATTTACTAATTCGCTAAGTAATACATAAGTTTATTTAAATAAATGCTACGATATTATTATTTTGCACTCTCGAAAGGAATTCCGGAATTATTTCTTATCGATAGCGATGCACAAACTTCTTGTATCCTGGATCAATAAAAATGTCCACCCAACGCAACGAGGTGTCGACTTGGTCATCGCGACGCAATGAAATATTCATGCTAGCAACTTACTTGGGGAGTTTCGCCGAGAAGTGAAGTCGAACTAACACGCCATGGGCGGCGACAAAAAAACGGGAATAAAGCGATAAAACTCGACGCAATATAAAACGTTTCGCGTAACCGAAAGGTTAACGACGACTGTAATTTGCTGACTGTTTGCTACTTAACTAGCACGATGCGAATCGTCCCTGGCAAATTATTCTTACAAGTTTTATTTACGGGCACGTTCGCGATATGTAAATTGTTCAGATCTTATTTGTGAGATTCTTAATTTTCTACTGCAAATATATTGAATTATGATTATTATCCAAAACGAAATAATCAAAAAAGCTTTTTCTTATCAATTTAATATATATAAATTTTTTGAAATTAATCTTATATTCTATATAAATTCTTCATCTTATAATCGTATACTGAAAATATATATTCAAGAGAGAAAGAGAAAAAGAAGGAGAGAGAGAGAGAGAGGGAGGGAGTTTTATGTATAAATTAAAATTCTTTAAAATCTTTTTTGATTAATATATACTAAGCGCGCTTGCATATTTAATCAGTAATCTATCAAAAAATCAAAATAATTTATATAAACGATCTATCGTTCAATCCAATTCTTTTTTAAGAATAATTGAGAAAAATAAGCACATGACATCATTTTAAACTGCAACTATTTATATCGTTGTTAATAAGAAAGCATTTGTAGAAGATTGGAAAAATTGTCTCAATTTGTAGAAATTTGGAATCATGAAGCGTATATTCAAATTTAAACATATTTAATTTTAATTTAAGTTTTAGAGTTAAATTAAACGCACATATTTAATTTAATAATTAACAAAAATTTTAAATGAGGATAGTACATGAAAAGTACACATCTGAATTTTTATTTAGAGAAAAGAATTTTTTTTAACTAATTATTTCTTTAGTAACGTTTAAATTAGAATCAGATTAATTACATACATCGTCTACAAAATTGCAGAATATAAAATTGTTAAAAAAATGCTTCATCCTCAACAAGAAATAATATCTCTGTGAATTTAGATAAAAAATTATATTGCATACAATTTATATAAAATTTAGAAATTAATAAATAATATCAAATATTTTAATATATTTCCATATGTAAAGAAATTTAATTACTTCTTAAAAAAAATCAATATGTTTTAAATAATGCATTAGATAACATGATACTTGCATTAAAAATGTTTTTGTAAAATTTTCTATCTCACTTTATGGGAATTAATGATACTAGTTGATACAAAAATCTTTCTCTTTCTGCTCCTATTGTTACATCATGTGCAGTAGCTGTCATAACTCTGTGCTCGCAGGTGGAATTTACTGGAGAAGGAGTCAAGATGGAACTGATCGAAGCGGCCAGGAGCGGAGCAGCGGGTGCTGCGGCTTGGGGAAAGATGGATTTTCACTGTCGTGAGCCAAGAGCCTCAGATCCGATCACGTTCACCACCAGGGACTCGCATCTCGTGAGTACATGTTCTCCTTATTTGCGATAAAACGCAATGTTTTTTTAAAATGTTTATATGAAACACGCATTTTCTCGTTGCCCATTTGTTGGGTCATTTATCATTTATAAGAAGAAACAATAAGATTGTCCATAATAGAGAAACTCCTCTCATCTTAGATTGTATCTATATAAACATTATTTGGAAAAAAAAATCTTTTAACCCACTTTAAAATGTCATATATATCTCTATTAAAGTATTATTACTCGAGTTCACGATTCGATTTCATGAAATTCGCTTTTCTTTTTTTAGTACACGATATATATACGATGATAAGATAAAATCGTGAAACTATAAAATATGCAGAACTATCGGTCTTCATCATCATTACACATTTATATGAATAAAGCGAGTTACAATCGTTCCAGATTAATCGTCTTTATTCGATAACGAACGAAAATTTTATAAAGGGCAACATTTGCATGCACGTGTTTATTAAATAATGCAAGGAAAGGAAAAATATCCATCCATTATAGTAGATCCAATTCCATTATAGTAAAGAATCGTGATGATAGAAATATCCAATTAAATCGAGAATGTAATCGAAGAAATTTTTACACTAGTCAATCGAGTTGCAAATAACTGTTCGGAGCAACGTCGCAGTTCGCTTTCTAATCTCGCTTTTCGCGAAATATCTCTGATTCTGAAAAAGAGTCGAGGTCAAGGAAACATTTTGCCAATATGTCCTCGTTCTAAATTAGAGATCTTCTTGATTTTTTTATATCGAGAAGAGCATTCAAACTCTTGCACGTGGCGCACGTACTCGATTGCCGATACGCAGTTTGCTTCTCGAAGGCACGTAAGTTTTTAGGAAAAAGAACGCCAAAGAGAAATATTAAACGGGCAACGCAATATACGAGCAAATTAATTACTTATAAAAGTAAAATAAAATATAGTTTATTATAAATTATTAAAATTATGAGTTATTGAAAAATATAATTACAGGAAAAAACATAAATGAGGTGTCATGTAGGACTTACTTTGGAATCTCTGATGTACCGAAACTTCAGCATTTCGTTCTTTTCTACCTGTGCATTGTTGTTGTACAAAGATATTAACGTTATAATGCACCGTCTATAATTTTCGAGCACATCCCTTGCCGATTAACATATATATATATTTCTGTTTCTCTAAAAAAAACTTCCAACCAGAAATACATTTAAAAAAAGAGAGTTTGATAATATAAAAATTTTTTAAATACTACCACAGAATATTATCGACTTGGGGGAAATCCTACGTAACTGTAGTTTCAGAAATTGTTAAAAACTCTCTATTTTCTTTTTCCGTTGTTATATCCGAAGATACGTTTTCAACGCAATAGATTAACACGAGTACGCTTCGCACAGTGCGTACCCTTGTGAGCTTTTACAGGTCACGAAGCATCGTCGTTACCATTGCAAATCCTTGTTGCATCGGCCATCACGCTGTCAAAGTACGCGTTCTCTGAAAGCGCATTTGCCACCCTCGCGCAGAAGCTTGTTTACGAGTATGACCATTCTTGGATTACACTGCTCGCTATCGTCGTGGTTTATGCAACCAGTGCATTAATACTTGCAGCATCTATTCTGGGATATGCCTGTCTCTTTGTCTATTCAGATGGTAGAATATCTCAAAGTCCTGGCACTTAGTGCTCCAAATAAGTTGCGTATAATTGTAATCTATGAAAAGTAGAAATTGAAAGAAGATCCAAATAAAGTTGATAATTTTTTTCAAGAAATGTAACCGTAGATAGCTTACATTTAACATCAAACTTTCGTTGACAATAAAATTAAGTAATTTCGACATACAATATCTTCTTATTTTTAAATTAGAATTATATATATCAAAATTTATTTCAAATTTATTAAGAAATGCGAGAAAGGTCCGTTAATAAAGCTTGATTATAATTTCATTCTCTATATTTTTCCTTGAAACTTAATTCATCAGAAGTCGTGTTTATTTTTTCGAATTTCAATAATTAATTTAATAAATAATCTTTTTTTGATAATAATAAGTGACTTTCATGAGATTATAGGAAAAAATGGATTATTGAATTCTTAACGAAAAGATTATTTGATTATTTAGGTATATTATATAAGCTTCAAAACTACTATTTTAATGTGCAGCTTTTTATTATGCATAATATGCACGCGAGAATGAAACTAGTGCACGTGATATTCTGCAACTACTTTGGGTCACTGAGATTTTTAATTTAATAAGAATATTAAAGACCTCTTTTCTTCATAGCTATTTAAATATGTTTTATATTCCTATATATATCATATTCGCACAAGAGCTACTTATAACATAAATACACCTTACCGTAACCCCCCTAGAGTTAATGGATCACTGCTTTTGGGCTCGAGTCTAATTAAATTTAATATCCGATAATTTAATATAAATGCAATTGCAGAGCCAACTCAATGTAGTAGATAATATCGGATAATATTTTATCGGTTTAATAAACAAATTAATATACAATTAGTATTTGGATTCAGCAGGGAATTTACAGTAAATAAAGAAATTTTATATATCCTAAAGCGATACAAAACTGTTGTGTTAAATGTTAAGATAAAGCTAAAATTATATGCAGATTTATGTCGGTCAAAAACCGATTAATATAATAAACTTTTATTACAGTATTATTCATACATAACATTCATAATTTATACGGCAGTACGATCGATATTACTTTCGATTGACGTGTATAGCATTAAACTCATTATGATAGTGAGCAGATGGTCATTCAAAATGGACAACGCATGGACTCGCGTTCGAGATTCAGTTATAATTAATATCGATACCGGCATACGGGCGCAATTACCCAGTTATATCGTAAAGCTGCATTCGCCCTCCTCATGTTGCGGCAACACAGTACGAGAACATATGAATACGAATGTCGGTATTGTTAGCGTATTCATAATTAGATCGGAAGCTATGATGCCTGCTGTGTTCAGATATCGATATCTCGAGCTATTCTGAAATCAATGGACATACAGGAATGTATTGTATATTGTATATTGTATTGTATATATGTATCGAAATATTGCATTTGCGATATTTCATACCGAGATTAAAATACTGTAGATAGTTTTGGAAATATATGCGTCAGCAATAAAGACATATTTTCGAGGAAAGAAGAATTTTTCTCGACAAAAAATTGACTTGACTTTTCTATTTCTTCAAATCTATTGATTTTCGTAAAATGAAATATTGCATATTGATAATCAAAAGTCAGATAAAACTTTAATATTTGAATATCCGATTCGTCAGAGAGATTCAATTCATTCAGTCACAGATAAATATTTCAAAATGTCTTTCTATATCTTGAAATCAATAAATTGAAATATGATTCATTAAATGCACAAGTCTCGGGATCTTGGGCTTTGTTGATTCACCATTTCGTAAATTCCACGTCTTTTACGTGATAGGTCTTTGATTCTTCATGTGTCGTTTATTTGTCGTATCCTTTACTTTTAAAGCCCATAAAGTTTCAGGAATCGTTGAATTACGTTTTATGTGCTATACTGGTACCGCGATCATTCGCAAACGAAAATCAGTGCTGGAACATCATAGCGACCGCACGGTGGACTATTTTAAAGGAGTAATTAGAAGATGAGACGTTTGCGGGAAACTACCACAGATCGAAACGCTCCTTTGCTCGATGGCGCCAGTAGTCAGAGTAAACGTCAATGCGGACGTTACAGTGGTTGCGTTTTAATTATCGAAAACCGTCGCGGTTCTGCTTCGATGACCATCGAAGTTACTTTCTTATCGAATACACATATTGGGATTTATTAATAGAAATTTTCGTCTTATATTCTCAACAGATTCTCATTACAAAAAATTATTTAATTAAAATTAACTTAGAATTAACTATTTCAATCATAGTATACTTATTAATGTATATTTAATTTTTTACGTAATCGATATCTTCACATAATTTAAATTTTGTTCATATTTTGTAATTATTTATCTTGATGCGATAAAAAATATAAGAATATATAAACAAGAGAAAAATAAATAACGCAATATTTTTCTTGTAACTTAAATTCTTGAGGTTCAATAAATTATATTAACATATCAAGTTTGTTTAAAGCTATAAATAATATGTAATAAGACATTACATGAAATGACAGAGAAAGAGAGAGAAAACAATCAAATTTTCAGACAATATTTTAAAACGTTAGCTATTCTCTTCTGCTTTGCCTGATTTATTAAATTTTATTATTTTATATATCGCATGATTGTATTATATTTGATTTTATATATGAAAACTATAACAAGAAACTAATAACTCACACTAAATGCAATATCGAAATAGCTATAAGTTGTATAAACTGTTATTTGCATGTTAATATAACCATGAAAGGGCTCGTCGTCATTTGTAGCTCGGCTATTCTAATTGAAACTCGTTACACTCGAAATTACTCTGCATCGCATTGTATCCAGTATTATCGTATTATCATATTAATACTGTCATTTCGTTCCACTTGTCAAAAGCAAATTGTACGTTATTAGCAATTTAAAAAATAATGTTTTATCAACTCTTGTACAATTCCTTCTCAATTATTACTAAATCACAATTAAAATGTTTCTCAAAATGATTCTTATTTCATTACAATGCGTGTAGTAATTTCAAACTTTTACTTTTACTTTTACCAACTATTTTTTAACAGGTTGATGTTATGCAAAAATCTATACCATATAAAATTTCCGATTAAATCAACAAATTATTAAAGTTATGAGTAAATGATATGTAAACCTAGAGATAAATCAAATAAAAAACCTAAATAAAATATTATTTTTTTTTTAAATTAGTGACATTTCATATATAATTTAAAATAATTTTTATATAAAGTTATCAAAATTAATGCTATGGTCATTCAATATTATATTATCAATTAATAACTCTAAAGTTTAATGAATTGTCATCTCTTAAAAATATATATTATTTTAAGGGAATTAAAAATGAAATATAA